GTTGAAAAATGGGAGGAACCCCCCAATATTACCATTAAATTCCACAAGAAGAGCTGACTCTCCAATGACCACTAACATCCGCCTCATAGGATTACATGAGGTAATGTGTACAGAGAGCCTGGCATGTACATAGCAGATGTGCAGCAGTTGTGTACTCCTGCTCCTGTGGTTCTTAACCTGGGCGATGTTGCACCCCAGGGAACCATGTATGAGAGGGGCCCAAAATAATCAGAATTATATTCTAGAGGGCAGGCCCCTTGTGATACAGGCTTCCCCCGCTGGGTGAGTGTTCCAGGAACCCATATGTATGAGTGAACCAGCTGGTGTTGTTGTGAGAGGCTGTGTTCAGCTTCAGTGAATTTTTTCTGAAGTCTCAACGCATTTGCCCATTTCATGATGGGTGATTTACAAGCACACCTGCCCATGTTCAGCAGATTTTGACCAAAAAACACCATAACCCTCATGTTTCACTCTCCCTATTCACCTGATCTCGCCCCAAGCAACTTTTTTTTGTTCCTGCGGATCAAAAAAAAAAAAAATCCTCAGAGGGAAAACACTTGCTGATGCAGAAGAGGTGAAACGAGAAAAAACAGCAGAAGCACTAAAAAGCATCAAAATTGAGGAGTTCAAGAACTGTTTTGAGCAGTGCAAAAAAGTCTTGATAGGTGTATTGCATCAGATAGAGAGCAGTCTGAAGGCGACTGAAGTTTCAACATGTAAGAATAAATACACAATTTTTTGTAAATAAATTCCAGGGGTTTTTTGGTCCCGCTTGTATTTAGTAATATCTGGAGATGTGGGTGATTGCCACACTTCGGTGAGTGGGTGCTACTGGTGTTTCGTGGGTGGAGGCCAGGGACACGGCTGCACACCCTGCAATGCACAGCGCTGCAGTTCCCTGGCCCACAGTGGCAGCGGCGCTGAGGTCCAGGAAGCCTGGCCCACTCCCAGTCAGCATGGGGCTCTGGGGGCAGGAAAATGTGTCCTGTCCATTTTTACATCTTCCCCGGGGCCTGCTGTCTAGTGGACAGTAATAGAGCATCAGAAGAGTTGAAAGGCAAGCAGTGGTAAGAGGGGTGACAGACATGGTGGATGGGACCAGTGGGTGTCAGAACAGAAGGACTAATTGTCACGGAGCAGGGTCACGTGCCTAACTTCATTAGCCGGGGGCTTCCGGAGAGGGATCAGCTTGATTTGTGAAAACAAAATTGCTTCCGAAGCATTCTCATCAGATTGCTTTAAGTGCCAGCCATTACGGGGAACTTCTGGAGCTTTATAGAACTGAGCATTTCCCTACGGAGCTTCCGCCCCAGGAAGTGACCCAGTGAACTGGGCCGGCTGAATTGGGACATTCTCTGTCTCCTACAGACCTCGAGAGCGTGGTGCCTTCTTCCACCACCAGCCGCCTGTAAAGTGCTTGGCAGCGTGTGAGTGCTCAGAAGACACTAGGCCCTGCTCTGGCCACCAACACTGCAGTCACTCCTTCCCGCCTCCGGCCTTGGTCTCCCCATTTAACATGAAGGCTGCACAGCCACCCCGCAGAGGACTAAGGCAGAGTTCAAAGTGTGTCCCTTACCACCATCTCTGAGACTCTCCTTAGGAAACTCCCAGAGGACCCTCTCCTCGGGGTCAATGCCAGTATCCATGAGTCCTGAGGGAAGCCTCCAGGAAGCTCCCCACGTTCCACGGCCCCAGGCGCCATCTCAGCACAAGCCCAAGGTCAGTTTCGGGGGTGGGAGATGACGAACCCCGGAGGCTGCCATCCTCACCTGCCCCAGAGGGTTGATGGCAGGACCAGTGCTAGAAATCCAGGACCAGCCCTGCTCTGCCATCAAGTGGCTGTGTGACCTTAGGAAGCCACAGGCATAGGGAGGAAACAACCGAGGTGGGCACGTTGGTCTCGATGCCCTGAGAACCCAACTACAGGAGAATGGCGGCCCTCTCGGTAGAGGCGCCAAAATCTTCGTCTGGGTCCCCAGAGATCCCCCTGCCTTGGGAGGGAGGTGTTGCCAGTCCCACGCCCACTTCCCCTTCCTCCTGGGGACCCTGTCCAGCACTTTCCTTTTCACAGCTCATTTCCACCAGTGGGAGGGAAGGATGCCTGCTGGCGCTGGTGGAGGTAACTGCATCCCTCCTCCCGAGCTGTCCAGTCCTGGGAAGGCTCTCAGCCCACACAGACCTGGCCCTCCATGGTGAGAGCGGCTTTGGCTCGACCAGAACCACCCATCCGCAGCCCTGCCTGCCCCAGGGCACCCCAAACCAGCCACACACGCACTCTGCAGACTTTGTAGCTGTTTTTATTATTAATATTACCTTAGGCATCCCTTTAAGGGTGAAATGAAATCCAACCATTTACAGAGAAAATGATTTCAGAATGTACATATTGATTTTCCCTTCCAAAAAAAATAATGGCGTCCTTAAATTATACATTTCCCAGGGCCCTGCTGTCTCTTTGGGCATGTCGTCTCCCCACCCGAACTGTCACCTTTGCCCCCCAAAGCTCTCCCACCCCTGACCCTGGGACCCAGCATGGCCCATGGCTGGGCTGGGCCTCCTGGAGCCTACAGGTCACAGGGCAGGCGTGTTCCCAGGGAAAAGAAACCTGGATATGTTGACGGGCCAGTGATGCACCGGCATCCACATTCACATTCACAGTTTGCTTTCCCTTCATATTGGGGGAGTGGCCCGGGGCTCCCCTGCCCCCCAAATTCCCAGTGTATGATGTGATTACATGTGAAACTCTTCAACCCCATGCCTTGGCCCCCCACCCCTCAGACAGCTGTCATCTCTCCCCAACGGCTAGGCCTCCACTTGACAGTGGCCATGAACGTGCCCCGCTGGGTCTGAGGGGAAAGGTGGGGCGGGGCAGGTCTGAGCTCCTCCCTTCTTCTTCCCCTGCTCCCGAGTTGGGGACCTGGGGGCCTGCCTCGGAGGGGGCGCCCCGCAGCAGTGGGAGGGGCATGAGAGAGAAAAGCCGGCGAGGAGGGGGTTTCCGGGCTGCGGCTCAGGCACAATCCAGGGGCCCGAGACGGCCGGTGCAGGGGCAAGCGGGGGTCGTGGCTGACCTCCTGAGCCGCTTCTCAGACCCAGGAGGGATCAGAGAGGGTGGCTGCTGTCACTCTAAGGGAGGGGCTCCCTCGGGGCAACTTCTAGACAGGAGGGAGAGTGGAGCAACAGGGCCCTCAGCCTTCTTCTTTCCTGCCCACCAGAGGCTGTTTCACAGCCAGCTCCCCAGATCACACCCGCACCAGGGGCTTCCCCAGACAGAGCTGTGGCAAAGGGGACACTCTCCTTGCCGGGCCCGTCAGGAATCACCCAGAGAAAGTCCCTGCTGGAAGCCGGAGGGCATGGGGTGGAAGATATGGGTGGGGCCGAGGGGCTGGGAGGTAGTGGGTGCTCAGCTGTCCAGCCCTCAGGTCAGGAGGATTCTCATCCCTTGGACTGAAAGACAGACAGACGGACAGACCCTGCATCCCCGTTAGCCTTGCTTTCCAGGCTCCCCAAGGGCTTCTGCTTCCATCGTTTTGGGGAGCTGCAGGAGGTACGGTCACAGGCTCCAGATCCCAGGGAAGTGGGGGTGGCTGGGCTTGCTTCCACATCCACACACAAGTATCTATGTATAGGGACACACCAACACAGACACATACAAGTACACACAAGCATGCACCCATGCCCATAAATACACACACGCGCACAAACATGGACCATTCCACAGGCAGCCTCTGCATCCTGGCATCGCTGGGTGAGCACCGACTGGGGCCTCGGAGAGAGGGTGGCTCACCCTTCCCATAACTGCAGGTTCTCACTGCACCCCAGTCCCAGGCTGGCAGTGAGGGGGCAGGTTGTTCCAGGAGCCCCATGCAAGACAGGGTGTTCTTAGGACCGCAACAGTCATTTCTACCCTCCGTCTCCTTCCCCCTGTGCCCGAGATGCTCCTTGTCCCCTGCATCCACCCTCTCCACCTTCCTTTAACATAAGAACTAAGTTGATGCTGAGCACATGGCAGCCCAGCTTCCCTTGCAGCTACTTGTGGCCAGCAAGGTGCTATCGGAAGTGACTTTGCCATCTCTGGCTCATGCCATTAACAGAGAAGGCTACGCGTTTCCCTTGCTCTTCTCTGCTTGCCCCGGGCTTGGGTGCGCGTGTGACGTGGGAACTGGAGCAAGCACCCTCCCCAGGACTGGGAGGTGTGCATGCGGAAAGCAGGCTGCCCTATTTGATCCAGACCATTTCCCTCTAGACAGTTCAACTCGAAACAAGCTTCTGTCTTGCTTAAACCACTCACTGTATTTCGGGGTCTCTTACTTACAGCAGCTTAGAATCTACTTCATTGAACACGTCTCCCGCACCTGCGAGGCATACTAAGGGAAACGAGGTAACACACGACTGGCCTTAACGTCCCTCTTGGGCCCAGGGCGGCCCCATGGCCCCTTCCTGGCCCCTTGCCAGCACCAACGAGGGGCACAAGAGTAACTCCACCTGAGACAGTGGAGAGCCGGGGCTGAGGGCTCCCGCGGGGAGGGGTGACAGGGCGCTGCCAGGTCTGACCTGCCAGGCTGGCTGGTGTCCCACGCCACCCTGAGAACTGAACTCCTGGCCTCGCAAGGACCACACGGGGAGCCCACAAGACAGCAGGGTAGAAAGTAAAGAGGAACGTCAAGGCCGGGTTCAGACCTCCAGGCTGCCCCAGGCCCCACACCTGTGTGTCAGCTCAGGAGGGTGTGGGGAACACGGGTGGCACCCAGCACAGCGGTGTCCCTGTGGGGCAGGCAGGTGGAGTTCTGGGCTCCTCTGGCCCAGCGCTTCTGAGGACACTGTGCTGCCCTCTTTTATCCCCTCCTTTCTTGGTGCCCCCTTTTCCTCCTGGGGCCAAATGCAATTATTTACAGAGCCTGTGGACCCCCTGGCATGCCCCCTTCCCACTGTGGGTCCAAAGCCCCCCGAAGCCAAATGGCGGGCTTCTCCCCAGCGGGGCCGCAGCTCCCATGCGAGCAGGGCAGGGTGAGCTGGGCACAGCTCCCTTCCCCACCCTCCCCTGCCGCCCAGTAACCATCATGCACTCCCTGCTGGCCCCTCCCGGCCACAGCCCTCCTGGAGGGAGGAAGGAATGAGGATGTTCTTTGAGCTCACAGGCCTGACCCCTGATTCACAAAGGCTTGACTAGGGAAGATTCCCCCACCCATCCACTCCTGGTCCTCGCAAGGGCCCCTCGGAGGGCAGGAGGAGAACAGAAGGGGCAGTCGCCACCCCCTGCCCTGCCACTGGCCCTGTCTGATGACGCAGCCTTAGCCTTCCATCATTTCCAACTTGGCCCTGGCGGGTGGCCGCCCGTCAGAACCCCGGTTCCGCGGCCCCCCTTCCGCGGTGCTCTTGGGCTCTTGGTAGGGGTTGTCCAGCAGGTAGCGGAACTGGTTGTAGTTCTGGAGCAGGTATTTTGGGGCGTACATGTGTTCGCTGGGGTCGGCCGGCGGGTACTCCTGCTGCGTGCCGTCAAACCAGCCCCCGGTGCGGATCAAGCTCCGAATGTAATTGAGGTCCCGCTTGTCCTCGTAGTCGCCCCAGCGGGGAAAGTCGCCGTTCTGCGCCGACACGAGCTTGAAGTAGATGCCCTCGGGCGTGAAGCACCAGGAGCAGTGCCAGCCGGCGAAGTGCAGGGGGCTGCCCAGCGACCACTGCACCAGGATGTGGCCCGTGCGGTTCTCGTACTGCCGGAAGTTGGGCATGGTGTAGTACTGGCGGCGGCGCAGGCGGATGCCGTCCAGCCCGTACACCGACTGCAGCATGTCCACCGTGCAGCCCGACACCACCTCCAGCGTGCCCGGCTGCTTCCAGAAGAAGCCGTAGAGCGACTTGCGCATGTGGAAGGCGAAGGGCTCAGTCCAGCCATCGTAGAGCTTGAGGAAGAGCACGCCGTCGCGCGCGGGGATCTCGTCGGCGTCGTTGATGATGAAGACGTCGTCGGGCCGCAGGTTGCGCAGTCGCGCCACGCCGTCCTGCGTCAGGAAGGTGCGCAGGTAGTCGTCGGCGATCCAGCCGTCCTGCCGCCCCCCGGGCGGGAAGTGGTCCAGGAAGACGTAGAGCACCTTGTGCCGGATGTACTCGAACGTGCCGTTGGTCAGCATCTCCCGGAACTTGAGCGGCCGTGGCTCCCCGTAGGCCGTGAAGTTGGACTCGCACACCACAAAGGCGTCCACCACGTCGCCCAGCTCGTGGAAGCGCACGTCCAGCAGGTCGAACTCGTGGTTGATGTTGATGGCGTTGATGACCCGCCGCGGCACCTCCCTGGGCAACAGGCGCTCCTTGGTGGGCAGGTTGGAGTACTGCACCACCGTGGGCACCCCGCAGCTGGGCCCGTGCCAGCCCGGGAGGCACACGCACTCCACCCACTTGCGGCGCGCGCCACGGCCGCCCGTGCGCTCCTGGGCGCTCAGCAGGTGCCGGACTGGGCCCCGGGCCGATGAGCCGTCGCCGGCCTCCGCCTTCTCCTCTGGCCGCCCCGATGGGGGCCTCTCCAGCATCTTGGTACCTGGTTTGAAGCAGACACCCCCGGCTTTGGTGCGGACGAAAAACTCGGTGGTGTCCTCGGGCAGCACGAAGTCCATCCGGTGGAGTTCCTCCGTGGCCTTGCTTGGCGACAGCGGCTGCAGCAGCGGCGAGTGGGAATAGAGCGGGGTGCGCAGCAGGTCGGGGCTCCCCGGCTCTGGGCTGGCCTGGGGCGTGACGGGGGCATTGTTCCAGAAGAAGCTGGACACGAGGTTAGGGCTGAGGGAGGCCAGTTCTCGGGGGAAGGTGACATAGGACAGGGTCTTAAAGAAGTGCAGGAAGGAGATGAGACAGAGGCCGGCCATACAGAACATGAGGAAGAGCTTGTAGCGTCTCATCTTCATCCTGCAGGAAAGAGGGAGAGAGCAGACGGGTCAGGGGTCTGCATTCCTGGGTGAGGGGAGCCTGGGGCCCTTCTCAGAACCGGGCCTGAGGAGGCCCTTGCCACCACCACGTTTGTTGCCGGTGACCCTGCATGAAGTCACCTCCTGCCGCCCAGGCTTCAGGCCTGCTAGTCCAACGTGCTGTACCCAGTACCTCTGGAAAGCCCAAGAATCAAGGAAACTCCCTTTCTGGTTCAAGGATCCCCTCCCCTTGCTCGCCAGCCCTACCCCCCGGGACCACCAGGTCACCACACATCCAGCCTCTGCAACTGGCTCCTCCACCTGGCTCCCCCTACACTGCTGCGGTACCAGCTGCCTCGCTCCAGGAACGAAATGCATCCTGGGAAACACTCAACCCTGCCCTGCAGAAGCTGCCCCTGGGGGCTTACAGGCCCCAAAGAGGGGGGAGGCAGGCTGCAGGCATGGGGTCCCCCCTCTGTGCTGCCCAGGGTGATGTTCTCGTTTGTCTGTTCTTTCCACCTGTCTGCCTTTTTTCTGTGGAATATTGACAAGTCTTTTGACTACCCTGTCACTGAAAAAATTCACAGGTCTGCAGGGATAGCATTTTATTCTAACATATTTAAAGAATAAAATTAAGTGGAAGCTCCCCTCATTGCCCCATGCACTATACTGCATCGCTCCGCAGGCGCGCACAGTTTGATCTGCGAGAGGTGCATCGCTGGTTTTAGATGCAATTGTTCTGTTCTTGGTTTAATAGTTTTCATAAATACCATAGTGAATGCTAAGTCCAATCAAATTTCTTCTAAATCAATAATAAAGAGATTTTCAGATCAGTAGAAATAAATCTGCTATTTCCTTTTAAATTCTACATAATATTTCATGGCTATTTTGAATGGATCACTCTCTAGTCATGCGTGATTCATGAATATAACCATTTTCTCCTTACACAGTCTAACTTATCAATTCGTTATGGCTACGGAGACATATATAATACAATTTAAATAGACTTTCATTTCAGGCTTTTGTAGTTTATCAGAGAGGTAGCGAAGGCAGCACAGAGAGTTCCCCCGCCCTCCTCACCCCGCCTCCCCTGGGGTTTTAACATCAGCACGACTAGGAAACTGAAATGGGCACGTTCCCATTAACTGAACGCCACATGTCATCTGGTTGTGCAACACTGTATCTCATGCATGGGCCGGTGCTGCAAGTGCTCTGGCTGTAACGGTCCCGCTCATGTTGTCCTTGAGCCCAGGGAAGTGGCAGGCAGGCTGGGAGGTTATACCCTTTTGGGGGCAGGGGACCAGTGGCTTGTTTGGCATGACCCACCAAGTCACAGGAGGGGTTGAGACAGAAACCCGGCCTTTGGCATCTGGTGCCTTCGTTTCCCCTTCCATGGATCCCGGTGAGTGGGGCCCAGTCCTTCCACCTAGAACATTCTTTTCCTTAAAGCATTCCTTTCCGTGGCTTCACCTCTGGGCCATTCAGGTGACCTCCTGCCATACTCTCCCCTTCACCTCCTAATGCCAAGGGCAGCAGGGCGCTGCGGAAAGATGTGCACTCGGCCTTAAGCTGCAGACGCAAGGCAAGGCTCCTCGCCAATTTGAACCCTGGTTTCTACATCTGTGAAATGGCTACAAGTTCCTTTTTTTTTTTAAGTAGTTTTTTAAAAAGATTTTATTTATTTTTAGAGAGAGGAAGAGAAGGAGAAAGAGAGGGAGAGAAACACCAGTGTGTGGTTGCATTTCACACTCCCCCAGCTGGGGACCTGGCCCGCAACCCAGGCATGTGCCCTGACTGGGAATCGAACTGGCGACCCTTGGGTTAGTTAGCAGGCCAGCGCTCCATCCACTGAGCCACACCAGCCAGGGCCGGATACAAGTTCTTAGCAACGTAATTTCTCTGAGTTCCATGGTCAGAAGGCGCAGAATCATGAATGTTCGATCTAGAACTGAGTTTAAGGGCCATTTCCTCCGACCCTTTCCTTTTTATGAAGGAGGGAACCCAGGGACTTCAGGGACCTGCTCAAAGTTACAAAGCTGAGGCGTGAACCTGGGCGGCCTGTGCTACGCCCGTTCCTCTCACCGTGATGAGAGATCCTGACCAAGCCAGTCCAGACCATTCGCGCTGCCAATCCCCTGGCCGGGGCGGCACCTCCCTCAGCCTAAATGTTGGACCTTCCCGGAGCCTACCCACAGGTGGGTAGCCCAGCTGCCTGCAGGCACGCAGGACAATGCGGGGTGGGGGCCTAACCTCTGCTGAATGTCAGCCATCCCAGGACCGGATGGGGCTGGTCTCCACTAGTGTTTCAGACGGCAGAAGGGAGGGGCTGCCCCTCGGCAGCATGTTTGAGCGGGTCTTCTGGGCTCCACAGTGGATTCCCGCCCTGCTCTGGCAAAGTGAGACCAGGCAGAGCAGGCCAGCAGGCTGAGTGGAGGGAGCACCGGGGCGAGGCCCAATAAAGGCAGGCGGGGAGGGCTGTTGCCATGGCAGGGACCAGGTATAAGGCAACTGTGGGGAGAGGTCAGCACAGCAGAGGCCTCCAGAGGTACCCCCCCTGAGCATTTCAGGACCTGCCAAGGGAGCCCTGATCCTTCCAGCAGACTGTTTTCCCCTACTTGGGACCTGCCTCTTTGGGGCACACCCCAACCCCTGCCCTGGTTGCACCACACTGGCTTGCGAGCTGTGGAGGGGCAGGTACTGGTTTGCAAGCTGCCGGGACTAATCCCCTGGCAGCAGCAAACAAAGGCCTTAGCAGGTAGGAAACTCAGGGTAGCAAGTGAACACACCCTGCTTTATCTGAAGGAGGGCCCTTTGCCTTGGCTCGTGTGGCTCAGTGGACTGAGTGCGGCCTGAGAACCTAAGGGTCGCCGGTTCGATTCCCAGTCGGCACCTGCCTGGGTTGGCAGGCCAGGTCTCCAATGGGGGGCGGGCGCGAGGCAACCACGCATTGATGTTTCTCTCCCTCTCCTCTCTTTCTTCCCCTCCCTCTAAAAATAAATAAAACCTTAAAAAAAGGGGGGCCCTTTGACCCCACCGACGTCACAGTAAGCCCGACCCCCTGGCCAGGCAGGCTCTCAGGATCTGGTTACACCTGGCCCGCTCTGCCCTGGGGAGGACAGACTCACCAATGCCTGTGACCTCCTTCGGACTCACTGGGCCCAGCCCAGCTTGCTGCCGAGAATCATGGAACTGAGCGTGTTTCTCTCATCACTTGGGCTGCTAGGAAGCTCTAAAGGGCACAGGGGTCAGCCTAGAGCCTCATAAAGTACTCATGACTGTCTGCATTTTTTCGATTCTCAGTCTTCTCGGCCTGATTTCTTTTTATCTTACCTTCACATATTCTGTTAAGTGCTTCGAATGCATTTTTTGATCAAGAGGCATATAAGTAGGAAAGAGAAGAAATAAATAAGCCTTTGGGAGCTGGGGTCTTATTTAAGTCTCAGCCACCCTGGGAGGTCCTTGTAATGGCTTTGTTTTTACAGATGTGGAAATGGAGACTCAGAAAGCCGACAAGACTCTCCCCAGTGACATTAAGTAGCTGGCAAGTTAAGACTTGAACATCAGTTCCGTTCCCAAGCCAGCTCCTGTCTCCTCCTGTGTACAGCCGAAACTGTTTCCCTCCCCAGCGCAGGTGGCCCGGCTGGGGGCTAAAGCCACGGAACCGACCTGGGCCACAGCCAGCAGCCTCTCTGCGTCCCCTGTGCAGCTTCATGGAGAAACCTTCAGGTGTGACCAAGACGCTGGTCGCTGACACAGCCCTGCGGCTGCCCAGAGCACGTTACATGCACAACCTCCCTGAATCCTTCCAACGCAAAGCCGGTACTGTTGTTCTCCCCACTTCACAGATGGGGAGACTGGGGCCAGAGAGATGATGGAACTTGTTCAGTGCCACACAATTCCAAAGGATCGGACTCGTTTCTGTGGGGTTGATAGTGGGATTTAATCCAGTGGTAAAGTTGTCCTGAGACCCTTGCACCTGCCAAGTTCAACCCAAGTGGGCAGCAGGGTCCTCCAAAGTGTGTCCGCCACTGACCAGTGAAGACAACCCGGTGGATGAACGACCACCATTGCATCTGACCCACACAACACCCCCCAGGGTGCTCACTCCACCTGTACCATCCACTCCTTCAGCCGCGACTTCCAGCGAGCACGCCGGTGCCAGGCACTGAGTGAGGCCCCAGGAGCACGGGGCCAGGACCCTGGCCCCGAGGAGCATGGCGCACGCTTGGGCTGCGCAGGAGAGGGTCGGTTATAACCTAAGTAAACGAGCCAAGTAACATTGCACATTAGGCAGAGTCACGCTCTGAAGGATAACGCGAGGTGAGGGGAGGACGGGGACGGGGACGGGTTCAGCGGCACTAGCGGGGCCACCGCGGCCTCACAAGGAGGGAGACTTGACGGCAAGGCCGCAGAGGAAAAGGGCTCTGGGCAGATGGAGCAGCCAGGGCTCAGGGGGCGCTGCAGGGACAGCAGACCAGAGGGGGATGGACGGGCTCGGACCGCGCAGGGCCCAGGGGTGCGGCTGGAAACGTGGCCACCCCAGGACTCTGAGAAGAGGGTCCTGATCTGCCTTCGGTCTGAACGGGCTCACCTGGGCCGCTCTGTTGCGACTGCCGCCCCCAGGGCAGAGCTCTAACCCCCGCTTCCTGGCTGCCTGCAGGGAGTGCTGACCAGCCTCTGCTGAGTCCCTGCGACCGACCGCTGTGAACGCCGAGTTCTCTCGGAGTCAGCCCCCGCTCTGTGAAAAGGAATGTGATCTCACCTGCCCTGCCCACTCCAGCGAGACACTGTGTCCGCAGCCTGTCCTCCCCCCGATGCCCGCCACGGTGGCCTCATCTCCCCTGACGTCTGTCCCCTCAGCGGAGGGACCACAAGCTCACAGGGCGGAACCTGGACACGGTGGGTGCTCGACGAGAGTGCCCTGGGCTGCCCCGGGCCTCCTCACAGCGCTCCCCGGCGCTTCCATGAGCACATTCTGGAGCCGGACTGCCCAGTTCTGGGCCTGGCTCTCCTGGGTACCCTTGGGTAGGCTAGTAACTTTCCTGAGCCTCCCTTTTCTTATCTATACAAGTATCCAATAATAATCCACGCACAGTGCCTAGCACAGATCAAGCGCTCAATAAGCGTGAGCTCTCCTTACGGCTATTGCTATTCCCCAGCCTGGCAGGGAGAAGAGAGCCTGGGCTAGGGGATGGGCAAGGGCAAAGGCTTGGAGCCGAGCCGCAGCAGGGCCTGGGCCTGGGCCTGGTCAGTGCTGACCTGTCTCAGAGCCGCAGCGAGCAGAGGGAGGGTCTCAGCAAGTGGAGCCTGGGCAGAGCCCAGGGTGGGCTGGGACAGTAGGGGGTGGGACAGTGAGGGTCTCTGGGAGCCTCCCTAGCAGGACCCCCTACATATTCCACGAGCCGCACCAGCCCCAGCGGCTGGGTCTCCCATTTGAGTGCGTGTGAAGGTGACGGGGGATGGGCCAGGTGCTTCCTGGTGGCTGGATAATCACGGATGACCCTGACCCGGGACCTCACAGCCAGGGGAGGTCCCGGCTGGGCCGATTTGCTTCCTTCCCCCTCTCTCTTCCCACTGCCCCCCTCAGGCTCTGCTTGGACGGCGGATGGAGCAAGGGGGGAGGCAGGTGAGCCCCAACCCCACGATGCAGCCATGACCTCAGGATGGGGGCTCAGGCTGAGTCCAGGGGGCTCCTGGCCAGAGAGAAGAGGAGCTCCCTGGAGGCTGGGGCTGTGACCGCGGAGGCGGCCAGGCGGGCGGCAGCCTCCCAGGTGCAGACAGCCCTGACAGCTGTCACTGGGGTGACAGAGGCGCCCGTGGAGCTATCCGTGGTCCTGAGCTCGCCTGCGCTGGCCAGGGTCCTAGCTCAGCCCCGGGGGTGCCCTCAGGCGGCCTCACCCTCGTCCCCGCCAGCCCCCTCCGGGGCTCAGAGCTCATGTCCTGAGGGCTGCTTCTTCCTCGCCTGCCTCACGACCCTGATTCCTGATGTCCTCAGTGTTGGGGCAGCCAGGGGGCACTCAACTCTTCCAACTGGGAGAAGGGGCCAGCTGTGGTCTGTGTGCAGCGGCAAACGGGTCCAACCCTCAGTAGGTGTTCAAGGCACTCTGTCAATGGGGGTAAATCTCGGAGGTCAGCCCGCCCTTCCTCAGTCTCCACTCCTCGGTAGACATCCGCCCATCTAAACCTCCCAGCCTGGGGGCACCATCGAATGCCCCCCCCACCACCTCTCCAGGAGTTCATCTGCTCGGAAGGGCATCTTGATTTTCAGCTGAAGTCCACCTCCCTGTGCCCACCTTCCTTCGCACCCCCATCCTGCCCCATGTGACCCGAGGGCTCTGCCCATCTCCATGAGGAAGGCAGGAGGTCTGCAAAGATCTGAACACTGCCCCTCACTTCTGCAAGTCACTCCACCTCTCTGTG